GGTGCGGGGGGGGGGGGGGGGGGGGGCGCAGAGGAGACAGTCTTTTTTTCTCTCTCTCTCTCTTTCTCTCTGCTCATCAGGGGTCTCCTTCTCTAGCTATATAAGGCGCTCAGTTTCACAGAGGTAACACAGTTTCCTTCGAGCCTCAGGAAAATCGCCAAATAGCAACAGCAGCCACAGCAGCCGGCTCCTCTAATAAGGAAACAATCCAGCTCTCAGCCGCACACTTACCGATATCTTCCAGCAGTTGCACAGAGACGGAGGTGAGACATTTTAACGCACGTCATGCTTTTAATGTAAGGTCACGTTTGACGTCGTGACTATAATGCTGTTGAATGAGAGATGTGCTCAAGTTTTGGAAACACCAACGTTTATATTTTAGGCGTGGATGCAAATGAAGCTGTTAGACACCGATGGTCGTTTTCTGCTGCAGCCAGGTGGAAATTGAATGGAGAAATTCAATTATATTTCGCTGTAGAACTTTGGGGGGGAAAAAAGTCCCTGCTGTTTGTAAACCTGTAAAATAAATTANTTTTCAAAATGATGANTGAANTTTTGTTTTTAGGAAAAACATCAAGTAGAGTTGATTTACACGTTTAAAAATGATATTAAATGAGTGAAAATGCAAAAAAAAAATAAAAAAAAATAAATAAACAGGCGTTTGTATTAAATTTCCTTGTTGGATCAGCTGTTCGTCAGGCAGACTTCCTCCTTGGATCAGCCCAGGAGTGGTTCCCATAACAGAGTTGTGCACGTTTCTCTCCCCAGTCCTCTGCTCCGTCTGTCACTGTGGTATAAAATTCATGAAAGCTATGAGAAGGGCCCAGACAGAGAAGCTGGTAGGGCTTCAGTGGGAAGAAGACATGGCACAGGCTGAGGAGAAGGGTGTGGTGCCTGGGCTGCGCATTGGCTCGGCCTCAGTGCCCCAAGCTGGCACGGCGTGTTGACACAGAGCCGGCGCCAGACCTCAAGATGCCTTTTCAGCCAGAGGGAAAAGGGTGAAGGGATTCAAGGATAAGAGCAACCAGTGCAAGCTGGAACTTAGTTTATTTATTTATTTTTGTTCTTCTCTGGTCACTGCCTTGACTGCCTCCCCTCTCTACAAAACTTTGTGATGTTTGCTTTGGTTTTTAAGTCTTTGGACGTCCTCCTGTGTGGCTGCAGGCTGGCGGGAGAATTTCATGTGCAGAATCAGCTCCACGCAAGTTTTCTGCCCCAACACGGTTCACTCAGGTTAAAACTTGTGAACCTGATCTCTGGTTGTCCTCCCCAGAGTTGGAGTACTTCTCTGTGTACTCTGATGCCACAAATCCATCCTGTCATGACCATTTTTAAAAAAAAACTTTATTAACAACAGAAGGTCATATTAGTCTGCATTAAGTGCAACTGTTGAAGGTTTTCAAACTCAGAGATAAACCAGTTCGTAAACATCAAATTTTGGAGAAATATTACATCTGATCCTGGTACATCTCACTACAGTTTGCACATTAATACAGGCAGTCATTCATGCATGGAACTACCAGGCTTAAAACTGAGCGTGCCTCCATTTTTATGAAGGAACTATCAAGCTATATTTAAAGCATCACCAGTTTATCAAACAAAACTTTTCACTCTGATCTTCTCTAGATGGACTAAACTTAATGCAGGTGCTTTATTAAGATTAGAATATCATATAAAATTAATTTTACTAGCTGACTCTTGTCAGGTTTTCCAACCATGCATCCAGACAGAGATTTGAAGAGGAGCAGCAGAAGCAAATGAGGCGGATTAGCAGTGCTTGACAAGAACTGATGGGTGTCATCCAATTGGCATCAACATGTTGCTGAGGAATATTGTCTCTGCTGCCTGGATATTGATCTGTTAGATTTTCATGACAGTCTTCAGTCAGAAGCCTCTTTAGATTTGTTGCAACACTGTCTGTTACTGGAAATCCTTCCCACAACAACTCCGCCCACAATGATTGCAGTTAATTTTGCATTTCATTTGAAAATCAACTCTGGAGGAAGAATGGAGAGGCACAGAATCAAGAGGTTTGCTTGAGGTCAAGAGAGTAAAGTTTCCCAATCAGAGATGACTTGGGAGGCCATTGCACCTGCTGGAGACGTTAACTGTATTTGATCAAGTCTAAAGGCATTGTGGATGTTTGTCAGCTTCACATTCTCTCTTATAGCAGAGATGCTGGTTGCATTTGCCAGCAGCACATAGGAAAAGCACAAATATCTGCTTTAATGATGGCCATTTTATCATTGCGCTTGATTTGCCGTCAACCCACAGACCTAAATCCCACAAAGAATCCATGGCTTGTCTGAATTGTATGTCTGGAGTCTCTGATCTTCTTCTTGACTAAATCCTCCAAAGCCTGCTGTCATTAAATGAATCTGAGCATCCATAACAGATCAGCAGAGCCGCAGACCGATCACCTGAATGATGCAGTAATCGATGCAAAAAGAACATCGCTCAAGTGTTTAGTGCTTACAGTACTTCTTTTCTCTAGGCTAACATTTCTGTATTAAAAATCATTTTTATTAGTTTTCTGCACTATCATAATCTTGTGTGAAACTGAATTGTATGTTGTTGTTTTTTTATTAGCTGTAAGCCATAATAAGACCAAAAATAAATGCTTGAAATAGATTCTATGTGCTTAAATAACTAAATGGAAAAATAAAGAAGGTTTTTCTGCCTGGTAGGAGAACAGGAGGGAGTAAAAAGAAAAAAAAAAAGTCTATTATTTCCTAAATACACTCTGCTTCACACTGGCTTCGTCCACTCATGGAGAAAAGGTGATGTTAGAGAAGATTTTAGTTTTCACAGTTTATTGGTAGCAGAGTTTATGGCATGTCTGAACAAATGTTGTAACATCTACTGCTTATCTGTCAACTCTCCAGGTTATTTGGGCTCCTGAGGAGGTTTATTACCCCAGACAGCTTGCGTATCAGAATGACCCACTCTGCTTCGTCTTGCCTCCTCTTCCTCTCCCTCCTGATGCGTTGCGTCACTGACTCGTCTTCGCTCTTCCTGCCGGACTCCAAGGAACTGCTGCGCCTGCTGAGCCGCTACGAGCAGGAAGCGGACCACAGCGGCGTTAGCTCCACAGCTGGCAACAGGACAAGACGAGCCATCCTCTGGTCGGACCGGGAGGAGATCCTCCAGCTGCACAACAAGCTGAGGGGCAGCGTTTACCCCACCGCCTCAAACATGGAGTACATGGTGAGGTCTGACACGTAAACGCCAATTAAACGGGAAAAAAAAAATAAAAAAAGATCAAAAGTTTAATCTGCTGGACATTGAAGCGTCAGCAGAAACAAACGCCGTAACAGGGCTTGTAATTAGGAGGGTTTAAAAGGCTTTAAATTGTCCAGAAAGGTGGAGGTGGTGTAAAAACAATCTTTTCTCTCTGCTGGAAACATGGAGTCATAAAGGTTGACCCGCTGCCAGCCTGCTGTGCCAGTCTTTTACAGGGAGCGCTTTAATGCTGACTCCGTCCTACCTGAAAACAGCTCGGCTGTGAAGAGCGCGGGAGGGCGAGGCAGAGAGGAGGAGGCCGACGGTGAAATCCAGGGACTCGTGGAACATTTCTGGGTGAAGCAGGAGAGGGATTATTGTTCCTACATACAGAGGATTTCTCAGAAGTCTGTGATGTTTGAGGTTGGGAGAAGCAGCAGCAGCAGCAGCCTGTGCGTCTTGGGACTGTGGTTATGGTGTGGAGGCAAGTGTCTGTAGACCCACTCTGCTCTCTCATATTCCAGGGAACAGGCAGTGTGTGTCTGCATTGGTAAAGGGGTGCGTTGGGGTTATAGTGGTGTCAGTGTATATGCATGCTTTAGTGACCACCAAAAGCCTGGAAATTTACTGAGGGGATGTCCTTTGAGGGCCTGGCAGCTGGGAGCCCTCGCTGCTTTTTCACTGTTGGAGTCAGGTGTTGTTTTTATTTCTCTCCTCCCTTTGACTAATTCAGCTGTGATTGCTGTGAATCTGTTGGGGCTGACGTCAAACATCTTTACAGGCTGACATTTAAACTGCATTCGGCTCAGTGGAGGAAGTGCATTGGTAAAGGTCTTGAACAGATTTAGGCTAATAGCTTGCAAAATTAGAACGTATTATTATGGGAAAATCTGTCCATCTGTGAACCAAATTGCACTGTGTCTGATGCACGCAGGTTTGGGACGATGAGCTGGAGAGGTCAGCCACTCACTGGGCCGAGGAGTGTCAGTGGGACCACGGACCTCAAGACCTCCTCATGTCGATTGGACAAAACCTGGCAGTTCACTGGGGGAGGTGAGGTTCAAACCTGTCATCTGGATGAATGTAATTCATTTTGGGTTATTGATCATTTTTTAAAGTGCTGTTCATGCAGGCTGTGCAACACATATCACGTAATTCTGACTTAGTTGACTTAACTCTTTTTGGTTTTTCATTTGTTGGATAATCATTCCATCCTGGTAAAAGTTTATATCAAACATTAAACTCCCTGAGTTAATGTGGTCTTCTTGGTCACAATGCATACATTTAGTCCTCTGACTGCAGCTGTGTCTAATAATAATACTAAATTGTTATTATAATATAATAATTGATATTATTATATTACCATATAATATCAATTCAATAATATCAATAATAATTGATATTATTATATTATCATATAATAATATCAATTATTATATTATAATATAGTAATTATCATATAATTATTATGTGATAATTATATGATAATTATAATATAATAATCATAATAATAATTATTATTATATGAAAATTTATGATATAATATGATAAATTTATCATATATAAATTTAACATATTATATATGATAAATATATTACTCAGAAGTCAGTGATGCAGAAAATTGCAATTATAAAATTGTAAATAAGAGACCCAAAGCAAATCCAGATTTATGGATTGTTTAAGGATAAAATGGTCTTTGTGGAGTTTACGTTGTATAAAAGTTGCTTTTAAAGTGTCTCAAAAGGTTTTAATATTAAGGAATAACATTTGACATAGTATGTTATTGATTACTGATCAATTCCCTGATGTTGAATTCATTACTAAGACAAAGAGAGTTGTGTGTTTAGGCATGGCGTTTCACATTTCTTTTTTTCTTCTGTATCTTAGTTCATTTTGGTTCAAGTGATTAGTCAAAAGAACATTTAACTGGGTCAGTGGTGGAAATGTAGCTTGGCTGGCCAGCGATTCTTGAGTCTTTGGCCAGACATAAATATTTTAGTAAACGTAACCTTGGTAAGGACGATACAGATTTAAAAATAAAAACTTTTTATGACCTGATGGTGGAAAAAGTGAAAATGGAAATGTCATGTTTAAAAATTATCCATGCTTTTTCTCAGTAATCACAGGCAAGCCTTTATTTTTTCCTGCAAAGTAACCAAAACGATCTTTGTAAATACATCAGCGTTTCTACAAGTTTCCACTGGCGCTATGACTGCTACCATTTTGTGACGGTGAGCAGGTATCGAGGCTGGAAGGTCTCCTTGCCAAACGCTTGTCTTTAGTTCTCGTCACGTAACTGATTTGATTCGGGTCTAAAATTTGGCCAGAACCTCCCAAAAACTGCAAACAAGAGGAAAATGACAGTCACAAACCCAAACAATATAATATCCAAGGCCTATGCACATATGCAAAGGTAATAATGTAATCCTTTTAGCTGGTATTTCAGCCCCATATTAGCATGTTTACCTACAGAGCACTCCACCTTGCCCTGATATCTATCAGGGGAAGCGGTGGCCATGGACACCAGTCTTGGATCTATCTACCTTGCTCATATCAGGGATTGGCATTTTTCATGTGGACCTGCGTGAGGACCAAATGAATATGCCCAACCGATTTAAACATCTGCAAAAATCCTCTCTTGGTTACCTTTGGGCTCTCTAACATGGTAGTGATCTGAAACATATCGCTAAAGTGGTCTTGAAGTATTGGACAGTGAACAATAACAACATTTATGACTGGCCCAGGCTGACTTCAGACCTGAAGTCCTTCCAAGATCTGTGGAAGACCAAAGCAATGGCAAGGAAGTGTGTCTCTGAACGGCCTGACACAGTTGGCCTCTGTGTAACAACACATGGATATCACAGCAGGTGCCCTTCCAGGAATCTGCTCTGATTCTCTCAAACCCATTTCCCCCCTTTTTTTTTCTTTCATTGCCAACAAACACTGATGTAGAGTCATTTTTTCTCTCCTCCTTGCCGCCATCAGCACTTTCCAAGAGTTGTTTATAAGAATTTAACTGATTAGTTAGGCGATGGTGCCATGTTTAAGTTTACTTCTCGTTGATTTTTTATTTTTTTTCCCCCCCAACTTGATTCAATTTCCTCTTGTTCTGTGGGACCAGTCTGCAGTTCTTTGCGCCAGGTCAAATTCGGACTCATCTTTTGAGGAGTAATGGGAGGTAGGGAGGAGAGATTTATGCAGTGTTTCTCAAGTCTGAGCCAAAGCACCTGGCAGCTCTCTCAGATATTTCCCTTTTGCCCCAGGAAGCTGGACCGGCTGTGACTAAGCCTACTGTTTTTCTGAATGTGTGTGTGTCTAAATGTGTGTGTGTGTGTGTGTGTGCATTGGCCCTACAGATACCGCTCACCTGCCTTCCATGTCCAGGCGTGGTACGACGAAGTAAAGGACTACACCTACCCCTACCCTCAGGAGTGCAACCCGTGGTGCCCTGACCGCTGCTCAGGGCCAATGTGCACCCACTACACCCAGGTAGAACGGCAGGCCCCTTTAGATGAGTAATTTGTCTCTTTAACAAATAACTTATTGCCTTGACGGGATGGTATGAGCTGGCTTTCCGGCTTGAGGGTGTGATGAACTAATTACAAAGAGTCTGTACAGGAAAACAACACTAAAACTGGGATGGATCTGTTTGTCACTAGTTTCTTCAGTTGTGGTTATGCTAGAAAACATAATAAAACTAATAGGACCTAGAGCACGACTGACGATTCTTTCTTAACCTGAGTATATGCCAACTACTTTTAGCTACTTTTTCTTGGAAAACAAACTCCACAGGTTTAAAAAAAAATTGAATGGTGTTTTAAAGAATCTTTGTCTATATAGAATTACTTAGTCCTCAATTTACCAGTCTACATATTCATTTCAGGCTACAACAATGTTTTCCACAAATCACTAAAAAACACCTCAGTGTATCTATTTAAGTTCTCCAGGCATTTTAGGTTTTAAACCGCAGATTATCGAAAGTCTTAAAACTTTGCAGCAGTTCCCAACTTTAGCATCATCAGCAAGGTGCAGTGGGACAGATGGCACCTCAAAGAGGGCACACCTGCTCCCTAATGAGCATAAACAATAAAAGCAAGCGATAACAACTCGTTCGGGGCAGAGAATAAATAATGCCACGCCTTGTCACAGTGGTGCCGTGAGCGAAGACTCGTGTCGCCAGTGTTTCCTGTGAACGCAACTGTTTCATGGGAAATCTCTTAGCAGCAAAGAATGACTGCATGCTTATCTGGATCAGCATTTCCTGATTAAAACTGAACAAAACGTGAGACCTTAAAGAAGAAAAATAAATAAATAAATTGCCCAAATGAGCAAATTAAAAACTAAATTAGGATCCGCAGACAGAAGAGCTGGCCTACAGTCAGCCTCAAAGCCGTTGGGTTGGCTTTACGGAAACGGTCTCAGTCTCTCTTCTTTGCTTTCACCCTGAAACTTGATCACTTTCATCTGGCAGTCATTTCCAAACCCAGCAGACATCCTGCACTGCCCGACCTGAGCTCCTTTGAAGATGCTGCTGACGGAAGCGGGAGGAGCTGAGCCGTCACCTGACTGTCTGCTGTTGGTTTGACGTGTCTGCCGTCCAGGCCGTCGCGCTCCATCACTGCCTTTCGATCGCGTTGTGCTGCGTTAGAGACACATGGCAGTCCGTGTGCTAGCTCACTGTTTCCAGCGGCCCCTAAGCATACAAGAAAAAAAAAAAGACCAACATTCCTGAGGAGGGGGAGCACGTGTTTGAGAGGGAAGTTTTGGGAGAAGTTTTAGAATATGCAGCTTTTTATTTCCCTCAAACGGGACATGATTTATCCGTAACACCTCTACTGCTGCTCTTTTCATACATCCTGTGAAATCGAAACTTCGGCAGACCGTTTTACAACCATATTTGCGATATTAAAAATATACATTTGTTTCCTTTTTCACGGCCTAATGAAAACATCACACCAGACTAAGGCAGAATCAGAGGCCCCTGTGGCCCCGTTAATTAAAACAGTCAATTTAAGTGTTTCCTCTTGAATTAATGAGTGTGAGAAGTGTCAGTCTAGAAATATAGTCTTTTCATTCAGAGAATGCCAGCGCTAACTTTGGCCGTGTATTTATTTTCCCTCATTTCAGCTGGTCTGGGCAACCACGAGCCGAGTGGGCTGTGCTGTGCACGTGTGTCCAAGGATGAACGTGTGGGGAGAAACATGGGAGAACGCTGTTTACCTTGTTTGCAACTATTCCCCAAAGTAAGATCAGTATTCCTCCACGGTCAGCTGTTCGTCAACAACCTCCAGACTTGTTTGCATTGCCCTGTACACGGTCAGCAAATGTTAACCATGCAGTGTTTTGACATCGGCGTGGATTAAAAAGTACCTAAATTTAGGAGTAAAATTACTAGAGTAGTTGTCTTTGTTGGGTTCTGGGAGTTTCCTGGAGTAATGACAAAGCCGCCATAGTTTGGTAATTCATTTTCTGGTTCTGTCCAGGGGAAACTGGATCGGAGAGGCCCCGTATCAACATGGCCGTCCTTGTTCTCAGTGTCCTCCAAGTTTTGGAGGAGGATGCAGAGACAATCTGTGCTACAAAGGTGAGACATTTCTCTACAATTTTGGAAAACGAGGAAAATGGTCTCATGAGCCACTTGGTTGGTGTTCTGCCAAGTAAACTTAAAGTCCACACCAAAGATGTTTTCGCTGCAGGAGTTGTGAAGACCTAAATTTAATTGAAAATCTTTTGTAAGTACTTCAAAATAAATGTCTACAGGTGCTATACCAACATCAGTCTAGTTTGGCTCCAGATGATTAAATCTGTTAGAGACAAGCCCAAAATGTTTTCCATCGGTCATGTCCAATAATTCCTATTGTTCTAAAAGGCACCGACTGGAAGTAAAGACCTCTTTGTGCATAATTTTTAAAATCGTAGTTCATAAAATAGTTTTTAAAACCATGTATCATTTCCCTTCCCCTTCACAACTCTGTACTAAATTGCATTTGATAGATACAGATAGATATTTGACATAATAAAAAGAGCAGTCAGAAAAACACTGAGCAATTAAAACCCAAACGAGGAGAACTCTTAAATTTAATTACCAGCGTATTTTCTCTTCAATGAATGCCTCAACCTAACGTCAACACGTTTGAACGCTGCCAGACTCTCAGCGCTCGGAGACGGAGGACATGAACGAGGTGGAAAAGCCTCAGGTGCCACTGTCACCTCGGACCACCTCCAAACCGAGCCCCAGACCTCCCAGGAAACCTGCAACCAAACCCTCCGCTCCCAAAACCGCCACCCCGAGGACATCCTCCCCAAAGACTCCCAACAATCCATACCTCGGTAGATGCAGGAATTATTAACACAACAATGTATTTTAATAACCACCCTGTGTTTGGTACTTAATTTCAATGTGTTGTCTCATTATCGCAGCTCACAACATCAAGTGTGAGACTAGACTGCGGGATAAGTGTAAAGGAGCAACCTGCAACAGGTCAGGATGTTGTGAGGATTTTCAGTCGATAATTACTTATTCATTCACTCGTCACACGCTTCCTCTCTGATGTGAGCCTGTGTTCTTCTTCTGCAGACACAACTGTCCAGCAAATTGTTTAAATACAAAAGGGAAAGTTTGGGGGACTGTTTCTTACGATGTGGTGAGTCTCTCAAAACTGGAAACATCTTGCATTTCTAAACAGTTGCTAACAGTAAGGCATTTCTTAAAGTTCGCTTCTCACCGTTGCAGCAATCAAGTATTTGCCGAGCTGCTATCCATTCCGGGGTCATCGACAACAACGGAGGGCTGGTTGACGTAACGAGGACAGACAAGTTGCCGTTCTTTGTCAGATCCACAAAAAACGGAGTCGAGTCTCTCAGGTAGACACGCCTGCTCTTTCCAGTTAAATTAAAATTGGGCTGTGATTAAAACTGTAAATGCAGCTCTGGAACATGTGTAATTGAAAGAAAAATAAATGAGGAGTAAAATTTAAAATGTGAAGCCTCATTGCATGAGTAGGACCGACAAGATAAGATGCAACATTTAGCATTGATGAGCTTGAGAGAAGCACTCAAGTAGCTACTGGGAAAACAATTAATTGTGCAGAATTGTCTTGCTAACTTAATTTTTTCATTGTTTTTGTACTTCATCATGCTGAAAGTGTTTTAATGCATCTCTCTTTTTTTGTTATGCAGCAAATATAAACCCGGCAACTCCTTCACGGTGGTCAAAGTGGAAGGTGAGTAAATCCATATTTTTTAGGAACGAACTGTGTAGAATCAGAACAACTGATCATGCAAGGTGCGTATTATGGAGCATATTAATACTGTATTATAATTGTTCATCTTTTCTCTCTGGTTGACAGAATATAATGCCGATTGCTACACCACAGTGAGGGAAATCTGCCCTTACAGACGACCATCCTCACACTGTCCCAGGTGCCTCCATTCGCTGGCTTTAGCTGCTTTACTGAATAGATTTTTTTTTTAAATGTCTATCACCCCTTAACAGATATTTTGAAAACCTATTTTGTCACAAATATTTACAAATTATAAGACTAAGTAATAAGAAGTTTTCTTTACGTCACTGAATGTGTGATGTGATCGTAAATCCTTATTTCTCTTAAATGCAACATGATCCATAACTTTTACGTACTTCTGTGGTTCTCAGAATCATCTGTCCAGCCAGCTGTAAGACTCAGCCATCCTATTGGTCGCCTGTAGTTGGAAACAACATATATGCAGATGTGAGTATTAATAAATATTTACAAAGTGTGGTCATAAATCCAGCTGAAAGATCTCCAGGTTGTTTGCACATTCGAGGTCCTTCTGGAGCTTAGTAAGAGCTCCAGGTCAAAACTAAAGCTTCCTTTCAACAAAGGGTTAAAGTGTGTTTTGCAAAGTAGGCCACTCAAAAGATATGTTTCTGCAGTGGTGAGGAGGCTAACTGTTGGTTAAACATGGAATATAAAACCTCTGGTTAGAATCATTGCATGAGTGTAGAGTGTGATCTGTGTTTAGATTGGAAGTGAGTGATTGTACTCCCCCGATAAGAACTTATGGCTAGTTACGGTAGAGCCAGACTTCTACACACCTCCTTCTTGTTTTCTTTTAAGAGTGTAAAGGTTTTTCACTTTCTTCCTGTTCTTCACAGAGCTCTAGCATTTGCAAATCGGCCATCCATGCAGGGGTAATCAAAGCAGACGGAGGTTTTGTTGACGTTCTGCCACTGGAAAGAAGAAAGAGTTACGCTGGAGTCCTAAAAAATGGCATCCAGTCTGAAAGGTAACCTCACTGTTTTGGTGTTTACTAGACTAACTGTAGTTATATTTCCCCATTGAGGTTCATTATTCATTTACAAAAGATACAAAGGTTTAAAAAAATGTTGCATCTTTTTTGATTAGTTGCAATTTATATCAGACAATAATGAATTTAGTTTGAATTTAAAAAAAAAAAAAACAAGCATGCATACTGAGAACTGATAAGCCCTCCTGGGCTGTGAAAACATTCGGAGAATTTTTAAACTAAGGTTAATTTATTAAAAATAACTCCCGTGTTCTCATTAAAATCCCAAATCCCTACTTCTGAATCCCTCTTCAACCCTTTGTTCGTCTGTCAATCCATCTTTCAGACTTGCTCAGTTCTTGAAGGGTTACAAGGCTGGTTTGTTCCCGTCTCCACCGGATGAAAGGCTACCAATCCACCACAGAGCAACACAATAATTCAATCACACACTCACACTAATGAGTGATCAGGAATGTCAGTTTTTCTAACATGAATGTCTTTGAACTGTGGGAGGAAGCCGACATACCCAGAGAGAACATCCAAACTAAACACTGGAAACGTCCTGGCTGGGTTTTGAACCCAGGACTTCCTTGCTGCAAAGCAAAACTGCAAATGCTTCACTATGCAACTCCTTCTAGAAAATAAATATAGTCACGATCCTAGAGAATTTTTTTTTCCCAAAATGATTTAAAAAAAAAAAAAAAAAAAAATCATCACCTCTTTTTGCTGAAAGAGGTAGCCAGTGCTTTAGGAAGGTGACAATATTTTGCATGATATCTACAGAATTGTTAATAGTCAAGCAAAGATTTTGCCCCCACTTTGGACATGTCAGCTCGTCCCTCATAAATGAGATTAAACACTTTGAAATTGCATTAGTAGATGAATAAACTATTCCAGGGTCTAGTTCAATGTTTAGCGAGATTTGCTGATTTGAAATTAAATTTCATTCGCTTAGGTTTTCCGTTTGATGATTGAAACCGACAAGCACGTTTGACGAGACAAAGCAGACTATGTCAGAGGAAGTTGCGTGATTGATGTCCGCTGTAATAGCCCATGTAGTGGGTTCTCTGCTTGCACGCTATGCTTCACAAATCACTTTCATGTCTCTGGTTAGCTCCACTGGACTAACTCAGGTAAAGTCCTCGTGGTCAGCTCTGCTGGCACATGGGGGGATGCAAGACTGATGGTGTGGTTTGGTGTGTGGGAAGGCCACACACTGCCTCTTTGCTTACTTTACCCATAGATTTCAACTGACTGAGCAAAGTGCTGAATTGGTACTAACAACCCGAGTCTGACTGTTTGAAACCCGATGCAGAGCCGCTAAGGCCACACTCGGGGCATTGGGACAGGAGGTCAGTAAGTGCCTGAGAAGGAGTTAACGCCTTGTGCCAACGAGGCACAAGGCGTTGTGGCAGCGTGGGCAGTTTAGATTGCTCTGTGCTGCTGTGAATGTAATTACAGCCTATCCAATTACTTCAGAATGGAGATGCTGTCAGCCAATCTGCCGGCTTCCCTACACGAACAATTATCTGCCACAGGACGCCAGCAGTTCTAGCCTATCGTGGTTATTGATCGTGGCACAGCTTCAAGGTTTTCTGCTAATGAACTAATTAATATCAATGAGCTGAGCACATGTGGGAACCACAAAAAAGCCCTCATATTTAGAAATACTGGGGCAGTGAGTCATTCTGGAAACAGCAGGTTTTCATGGCGGTTTCAACCTAAAATATCAACTCTTGATTTATTTTTTGATGGGTTTCGCTGCTGAGATAATTTGAACCATGAGGGGAAAATCCACTTCACCTCTGATTGTTGTAATCATGCCTGAAGTTGGATTAAAATACAATACATGCATTAATAATGACTTCAACTCATTGAGGCAACAGCATTCATCAGAACCACACAGCATACAGCCAGATGGAAAGGTTGAGATCAAATCAGTCTCATGTATTAATAGGACCTAAGCTATATACCTGTGGCTGATTTATCAGTCTGTGGTGAGACTGAAAATTAATATTCGCAGCTTCTCGCCATCTAATTTGACTGAACTTGGGGTAATTTTGTAAAAAAATTTGGCAAAATTTCCAGACTCTAACTATGCAAAGCTGTTAAAAAAAGCAAAACAAAACTTGAGAAACTACTCCACTTGCAGCCAAAAGACGTTTCTACAAAGGAAGCATGTAGACTGAATATGTGACTGAAAACATATCTAATTTAATCTCGGTGAAAAACAAGTTGGTGGGTATAAACCTTTGCTCGCTAAAGAATGTTTGCATCTCTAACAGTAAAGGTAACACATTACTTTTTGTCTATTTTCAGCCAAAGCAACACAGACGGAGGCTCCTTTAGAATGTTTGCCGTGAAGGTGTGACCCTTTTGAAGTCTGAGGACCAACAGCGTTTGCTCAGCTGGTCTGGAAAAGCAGGAAGTGCCCGCAGGTTGGATGCCACGACTCCTGTGCAGTGGAGTCCGAAAATATACATTTCCTCCGTCCCACCATTTATCACTGTAACCTCCAGTAGAAGTGCTTCATTATCATCCGGGCATATTGTATTTCGACGGTCCTTATTTTTTATTTTTTTTTACATAATCTGTGAATACAGAAGATTTTATTATGAACTGAACAGCTGGTGCTGAAATATTGTAGGTACACAGAAATAATTATGTTTACAATAATGTTCATATTAAATATATATGCAGGGTTTTCATACACAAGAATGTATACTGATCACACTATATATATTTAATCTTGTCCAGAATACATGATGATTTTTTTGTTTTTGACAGTTATTACAATATATCAATTTGTTAACGCTTTAATAGTTGTTTTTTTGTGGTTAACTGGGTTATAATTTTCTACTGTTGAACATTTAGCCACAAGCTGCCAAACATTTTAGTTTCTGACCTACAAATAACAGCAGAGACGGAAACTTTTGACTCACAAGATTTTCTTTTTATGTTTTTTTTTTTTCCCAAGTTAGATTAAATATTTTATTAAAATTTTTAAGGCCCAAGCTGTACCCCATTGTCCGGGATAGGGTATCTTAAAACTCCTGCTGTTGAGTCACGTCCAAGTGTAAATGAGAGCTTCTGAAGAATAAAGTAGTTAGAATATATCAAACGCCAGATACATGTTTTATAAGATGAGCTCCAATATCTCCGTCTTTTTTTAGTGCTTGCTTATTTCTCTGATTATTTCTTGATGCCTTTTTTGGCCCTGTTGTGTATATGAAAATGTAACGTTGTCCCTGCCCCCCACTTAGACAGTTGAATGTGTTGCACGGTTCAGGTACAGAGATGTTTGTATTTCAATGGTGTGAGAATGTGTAACGGTTTGCGACGTTGAACTGCAGTTTGTGCGTTTTGGAACAACTGGCGCTGTGCAGCACAATTAGAGAAGATACCTACTTTGCTGATTTGTTTTATTCTACAAAAGAACATGCTTCTTTTGTTCAAATGACTGATCAAACAAATACATTTTGTTTTGTAGGCCTTTTGCGTCCTGAAGCACAGCAGATATGTTGAAGCACTTTTAAGCTTTGTTGTGTCTCCTCTGTTTTTGTTATTACTAAAGATGAAAAACATTTGTATTTATAGTCAGAGTGATAATCTGGAAAAGCTGCAGCCATGTACGCCATGTCGTCTTTCTGTCTCTGTATTCTACCTCAGTCCTATTGCTTTGCTCAGCAGTTGTTTTTTTTTTTTTTTTTGGGAGGGAGATTTTGTTTTAATGAACGTTTTGTAAAATACGGCAACTGTAAATAATAGGATCTTTGTTTTTAAATTTCATTCTCTAAAAGTATGATTAAAACATGTATATTTGTTTGTTTTCTGTGCTGTTTTTTAACAGATGTGGTGGTGTATGTCCTATACATTTTTTTTGCACAATATGAAAATAAAGTATGTTTTACAAATACAAATGGAGCAGTGTGTTTTTATTAAAGATCTTTTAAGTTACAATTTTAAAACTGAAATTGATTTATTATTTCTTATTGATTTATTTCCTCCAAGTTTCCAGGACTTAATGGGAATTAATATTTCCAATATTTTTTCTCACCTTGTAACTGAGAACCTTTATAAAGATACAATTTTTGAGCTGAAACAGTTGCACATGTGTATTTGTTTTACTGTATTGTAGGCGTAGTTTTCACTTGCATGGTGCTCTAGCCAAAGACTGGCGCGTCTCATTCATAAGTGTATTAAATGTACTTTGTCCGGAGTATTTCGCCAATTTCTGTTTAACATGAAATCTGAATGAAATTGAGATGAAGGCCACCCAGGATCTGATTGTTGTCTTTGGAGCCGTATCACTGACCACATTCGTGTCATGGCTCTGGTTCTTGTGGGCACACACAGATCCAAGAGGACGGGATCAACAAGCTGCAGCGATCACTTTTCAGAAACCACATGCAGTACACAATCTGCCAGCAGATGTTTCAGTCAGTTTAAAAGGAGTGGAGGCAGAAAGAATCATCTTTATTTTCACTTTCATATGCCAACGTACAGTTTGTATTAATCAGTGAACTATAGCGTAAACTCACCATACATGCTGTTCCTTCATTTACAGCTTACTGAGAATGAGTTGGCTTACACTCTAGTATCCCCTCTTACTCCAGGGCTTTTGACAGAGGCAGATGTTCAGATTCAGTTAAGCCCTGGTTGGACAGGACCCTTGACATGTTGCTGATAAACAGCTGTGGAATGACTGTTTTACTCCCATTGTCAAAGAAAATAAAGATTTGTATTCCCATGTTAATCCCCAAATAGCTTTCATGAAAAAATGTGAAGATTTTTCCAACCTTAGGTTCCTTCTGTCTCAAAATGTGCTTTTCATTACAGAGTGTTTTCGTTGAGGCAAAAGCTGCGAAATATTGGACTTTTGTTTATGTAATCTGTTGTGATCTGTGTTTCTCTGTGGAGTTATTTTGAGATTTTCTGCGTTTAGTCCTGTTTTCCTGTGAGTCTTTGTCCTGTCCTCCCTGTTGATTGATCCCAGCTGTGTCTAGTTTCCTGATTACCCTCCCTGTGTATTTAGTCCCACCTGTTGTCTTTGTCTGTTGTCAGATCCTCGTCGTTCGTTGTACGTCTTCGGCCAAGCTCTCCAGTCGCACTGTTTAAAGTCCTGGTTAGCCTTAGCTCCTGAATTCAGTCACCTAGTTGTCAGTTGCTACCGGCTATTAGCTGTGTGCTATTGTTCCTGCCGTGCTGCCTGACTGGACTGTTTTTGAGCAACATTCATCATTAAATTCATCATCATCACCCTCATCTGGGTCTCCACGTTCATTCTCACCACCACCAACCACACTCCATGACATAATCTTTTGTTTACATATTTGAATATTGTTTTGTCTTAATTTATGCTGTTTGAAGTGTATTAGAGGGGGTCTTTTCAGTGTCTTTTGTATTGTTTTTGAATAAACACATTGCCAAATAAGGCTTGTGTTCATTGTTGGAAAGTCGCTGAACAACACAACTGTCCAAATGCCAATTGAAACTTAAGAAAGATTTAGTCACTACTCTTGACCTTATGAATCATTCATGTATGAAATACTCACATGAAACTCGGTAAGCTGGTTTGGTCATTGAAATTTCCAATAAATTGATTTCATCATCAAATCTGACCTTTTAGTTGTGTCTACCTACTTCGAAAAAGCTCTGACTGGATTCTTGTGACTAGCCAAAACAATTTGTAACTCCAAGACTCATGAAATCCCTGTTTCGTCATAATGCAGGAGTAATACTTTGACTCTGGAATGTTTTGTTCACAGCATATACTTTTTACTACCACATAAATTAATGAACATTTTTCTGAAATAATCCATGATTAGTTGATGGGCTGCACAGTAGAGAAGTTGTTGATAGCGTTGACTTGCACTAAGAAGGGATTAAGGAATGGAAAGATCCCTTCAAACAGTTTTTGGTTCTGGAATGATCTAGAGTGGAAAATCACCCAACATTGAATAAACGGGCCATGTAAACCAGCCACTCCCTTCTGACTACAGAATGGGTTTCAAGCCAGAATAGCAGCTTTCATGCTTGGATTTCTTCATCCTTGAGAGAGACCTGCAGCGGTTCAAACTGGGAGACGGTGAGATCTGAGCCACAGTGAAGTTTTCTGATTCTGAACTGAGGAACTGACCCATTCAAATGTCAAATTTGGAAACTTTTTTTCTTCTCCCAAACTTTACTCCTTAAACTAGCATAAGATATCAGACCTCAAGACAAGGTCAAAAACTTTTGATAAAAGTTAGACTTTAGAGAATATCTTGATTGACCATTTGTTATTTATTTTGATAGGATATTGTTGACTTTTTATCTTGACTGACACTATGAAGTTAATTTTAGTTTAAATGGTAATATCGTTTTGAGTTTGCAGAAAACATTTATTTCAACCCGAATAGTTTTTGTTAAGATATTGTGTTGATCTTGGGAGTTCCTCCACAGAACTTAGGACTTGTAAACGTTGTGGTGGATCCATGTTTGAAAATACTGATTCATGCTCTCAGATCCTTGTAGGACAGTCCGTGATAGACAAGTCCTGTTTTTGTCATTTACTGTGTAATTATTCTGCAGACAAACATTTCACAGAGGTACAACAAATAACAAGAATAATCTGTTACCTGCTAAAACCTTTCCAAACAGAAACCAATGTTTGTTAAGCCAAATTCAGACTTTGATGTCAAACTTTTTCCATGTTTTTATGTTTTTGTTTTTGAATCACAGTTTAAGTCTGATTGATTAGTTGGAAACAATTTCTCTACAGCAGTTTATGATCATATTAGGTTTAATGGGTCTGAGGCCGTTAGAAAGCTGACTAATGGTCTTCACGCATATTGACGCGGCTTAGCACAAATTAAAATCCCAAGCAAAGAAGACAGGGGGGAAAAATGAGGATTTATAGTAATTTAACCTCGCTGTGTTTTACAATAACTTCATTTTCAACACAAACAGCTTTTCTGTGGCTGAAATGGATTTGCATGAAGTCTAAATAAATCAAGTCTAAATTCTTCTCTGCTGAGCTTTGATGTAGAGTTTTCCATTGTTATTGCGGAAGAGCCATGTGGTGTTTGTGTGCAGTTTGCAAACGAGATCTACAGCCAAGATCTGGGTCACTTGTAAGACATAAGGAGCAGAATTCAAGCAATAAGAAAGTGATGAAAATAAAAAAAAAAAAAATAGAAGAGCATGTTCAGGAAAGACAGGTAAGGCAGTCCAAGTGGAGGAATTTCAGATTTTTTAAATGAAATTGACCATGGTCTAAGATAAACAGAGCAAAAATTTTGTTGATATTAACACAACAGACATTTGAGCTGCTCATTAATCAAATAATTGCTGTAAAAATAGAATGAAACCAACTTTTCAAAATGCTGTTTGTCCGATGACAACATTTACAGTACTGTTCACATTTATTTTCATAGTAAAGATTGTTTCGTGACCAAGTTTTGCCAACAGATTTCATCCAGGCAAAGCTTGTGGCACAAAACCAAAGGATCAACACAGCCAGCCATCCCAACACGGAAAAGGAAAGTGAGTGTATCTCATGAGGTGGTTGATTATTGTGGGGGTTTTTATCATCTCCAGCTCCCTTGAACAAAACATCTTTTACGTCTAGTTTAAAAAGGTACGGCTGAAAATCCATTTTCTGATCTAACATAACCACAAAACAACTTCCAGATCAACCAGTCTTTGCTTCTTTTACAAATGTTCTGACTGATGAATACTGTTCCCATTAAGCACAAAAGGAGAAATCTTCCTTTGGCAGCTAAAAAATCTCTGCCAAGCCATTGAACAGACAATTAAACGAGACAGTCATGCTCTGAATGAGCCAAAGCATTTGTGGACATTTTTATGACAATCCCCCGTGAAGCAATTCATCCCCAATGATGTTTTAATTTTTTAATTTTGATTGATAATCTGCGTATTGTCGTCAGTCTTAGATCTCCCGGCGTATGTCGCAGGCTGTGTTCCTCCTTGGGAATTAGTTTTATTCCTGGCTCATGACAAAGAAACCACACAGGGAAAGCACAGGAGTCTTCTTCTTCAGGGAAATGATGAGTAATCTTTGTTGATGGAGCGTATTCAGCCAAGTGGCACACAGAAACGCTTACTGACACTGGAAATATAAACGTGTCATATAGCAGTTGAAGGTATGGTCCCACAGAAAGTTTTTCTTTTTTTACTTGCGATGCACTATATGGAAAAGCCATTTCAAGATCCACATGTTGAAAACTTGCAGATTTATTTGATCAAAACCTTACACCGTGGTATAAAACTGTCCTCTTAGTTTAGACGACATTCTCTTCTCCATATCCAAATATAATTAAATTTGTGCTAATGTGAAAAAAGTAACATATTTTAAACCTTTTCAATGCTTAAAATACATCAATGTTGATCTGACCACCAGATATTGGAGATATTACTCTCTACTAACATATGTGGTACATAATGTAAATCAACATCATCTTGGAATACAGTTATGATGAGATTGAATGAACTGTCTACTTTAAACTGTCATAAGGTTGACTATGTTTTTTTTATTGACCACTCAGAAACGCTCAACCACAGGTAGTGATTCTCCAGTCTCTACTTTTTTTTTTTTTTTTTTTTTACAGCCAGCTAAACTTTTCCACTGAATGCTTTGGGATTCCTTAAAGTCAGAAATAGCTCTCTTTTGCAAAGCCGCCTCATTAGCCTAGTATTTGTCTGGGGATAAGTTCATAAAATGCTGCACGGCTACATTAACCGCGTGTCAGAAACAAAGTGTAAAGACGGAGAACCTCGTTATAGATGCTGTAACAAAGGCCTCACTCATAGCCCAGTTTGGGAATCTGTCATCACACGGTGAAGATGACACAAAATCACACGCCAGTAATGGATGGCTGCTTCCTTTGTGCCTTTTCTGTCCTCCAAGATGAACAGATGAGTCCAATAAGTAGCACAAGAGTTTGTCGGCACTTTGTTCCAAGTGGAACAGCAAGAGAAGCGGAAAGTTCAGAAGAAGTAAACAAAGCCTGAGTGCCAGTGGGATTGTCTGTTTAAAAAGCTCTGCCCTCAGACGGCTTGTGCAAGAGCTAAAGGAGTACTACAGAAACTCTGGAGCCACTGGAGAACATTTGATGTATTAAGGTTACAAGACAAATGTGTACTTCCTTTTCACAACAACTGTACAGTAAAAAAAAAAACAAAAAAAAACAACAACCCAACATTAATTAATATGATTTATTACTGCAGAGGTTTCCTTTGCAGAACTTCACTGGAATCTGTCTGTTCTTGCTACTTGCATTTTTGACAAAGCTGTGCACAAATAGTGAATAGTTAGTCTTCTAACTCATTTCCATCTCCTATGTTGAACTTTTCCTCTGAGGAATACTTGATGAAGAAAAAAACAATAACACTAAAATATGTTTTAGATAGAGTTTTATCAGCAATCCCAAAGTCGTGCTGGACACTGTCAAGGAAAAAAAAGAAAGAAAAAATAAGAAAATGCTATCATTTGCTTTTAATATTTTTACATTATGATTAAGCAATTCTGATTGACCTGGTTTGACTTTTGTGCATTTTGCCATCTTCTGCCAGATGTTATGTGAGCTCTAGTGACAGTGAATGCATATTTGCAAGACAACTCCGGTGTAGTAAACAGACAGGGAAAAAAGAAATAAAAAAAGCTTCTTACTACTAGCTTCTTCTCCCCCTTTTTGAGGGTGGAAAGTAAACATTGAAGAGCTCAAGAGTTTCTGTTTCCAGCGAATACTCTCTTCAGATTATCTTGACAATTCTTGTTTCTGAGAAAAAGAGATTCCCTTTCCCATAACTACTGACCTCAACTTTGTGTGGCAGCCATTTATTATAAAGAACTCAAAACAGTATGCAGTGCAGATGCGAAGCATCAGTCTAACTTGATGAAAGAGAATTAAAACAGAATTAATTCTCAGTATATTTTCAGAGAAAAAGTAAGACATTTAGTATTTGGTGTATTTATTTCTCTAATGCTGAAGGGTTTTGACCAGCTGACTCTAAGAAGGTACTTTGGAAACATTTTTATTTGATTCATGCCATGTCTGCGATTGTATGAAAACATTTACCTCTCCTTTTAGTCTTCAATCGGTGTCATTTCTCTTCAGTTTTCGAACACATAAATTATTTCTGGTTTAACAGTTCAATAAGGGGCTGTAAATGCAGACAATTAATTGTTAACACTTGTGGTTCTATTGTAATCCTTACACCATTCTCTAATTATGTCACTGTTTATTATTGTTAGAATCTATGGTTACAATGGTCTTGGAGTTGTAAGATAGCAAGATTCGCGGTTTCTGCACAACTGGGCAATTTTGATTTAGATTTTGTAGGTTTTCTTCTTCTTTTTCATTTTTTAATGGCGGTTGGCAAACAACTTTTAGGTGCACTAACACCACCTTCCAGATTGCAGTATGGATCTTTTCAATTTTGAGTTAACCTGTTGGAACCATTTTCAACCAATCAATGCCCCCTGACCTCTATCCACCATCACTGATTGGCTATTGTCACCTGCAGGGCGTTGACAACGGAGAACTTGTGGACACCGGAATAATGCTAGTTTTAGTAGCAACTTTGTGAAACTGCAGCGATAAACCTAGAGTTAAAATGCTGAAGTGGGCAAAAATATAAGACTGCTTTCGGAATTTAGCACTTGCTGCTATCAAACTGCGCAACCTTTCTGCAGCTAATGCGCCAATTGAAAGAGCTTCTTCAGTAGCTACTCTGCCTGCCGCTCCTGTCAAGTTCGATGGCTATCCGTTCAGGACCAACACGGAATAGATGGACATCAGCAACATGGCGTCCTCTTTGACAGTTATTGGAGAAATTTGACTCAACCATGCACTGATCACAGGAAGGTGTTTTAGCTCAGGAGAGGACTAAAGTTGTGCTTTCCAGCCTACAGTCTACTCTGCATCAAGGTAAGCACCAATATTCAAACGTTGTAGAAGCAGCTTTTCATATGTGTGTGCGTATAGAGTACGTGGTTGTTGTGGAGCCTGTCTGAATGTTTGGGGAGGCTGTCATCACCTTTACTGGCTCCAATCTTCCTGTAGTTGCTGGTTGTTGGTTTGTAGATTTTGTTTTTTAAAGGTAATATTAAATTTCTTGAAATATAGTCCTGTTGTGCTTCATGCTCCATATAGCACTATTGAACGGGTTTTTGCGCGTTGTGGCGGTTTTTAAATGATTTTTGGGCTGGAAATGATGATCTGGAATTGCTGCTTGCCATATTCAGTTATTATTGCTATTAAAGTTTTATATTTTGGATCAATTTTCTCATGCTCGTTTCGGGTTTGCTTGGAAGCTCATTTTGTGTTAATTAATCTCCCTTGCTAAGTTCTCATTCTGCCACAAGTCTTCCACATCTCTGATTAGTTCATCTGGGTCATTTGTCATTTTCCACCCCTGTCTCCTCAGTATTTAAGCTCTTGGTTGTCATTGTTTCTTGCTGGATTCTTCCATTACACTGCTGAACCTCAAAGCTCTCCATATTGTTCATGATCAAATAACTCTTTATTATTATTATTTTTTTTATGTCAGTGTTGGTTTCTGCACTTTGGTCCCTCACGAACCACTTCATGGCCATCCTTTGCTATTTCTGTGTTGCCAATTCAAATTCCTAATACCCCAAGACTCCCTTTCCCATGCTTTTAATGTCATCTGCTCTCATGCTGGCACTGACTCCTCCTGCCAAGACAAATGTCAGACTGAGCATCATAGCCCAAGTGCAAGCTGGTGATGGTGGTGAGTTTGTTGTAGTAGGGCCTGGAAACTCCCTCTGAGCTTCTTCTCACACATTGGGACTGAATGGGATCTGGGAAAGGTTTGCTTCCCAGATAAGTTGAGTGTTGGTGCCCTCTTCCCTTTAAATGCTCTGGTATGTTTTGCAAAGAAAATATACTTTTAACTAGATTTATTTCCTCATTAAACAGTTTCTTTATTTGAACACAAGACCATACTTTGTCGGCCATTGTTAAACACCTAATATTATTTCTATTTTTGGCTCATACTGGCATTGTTTTTATGTGGAGACATTACATCTAGACAGCTGTGATAAATGTATATTTGCTTTTTCTATGTAATTGTGCTAAAAATGTTTTCACTCCATAGGAATGTTTCTCTTTGTGTATCTGGACTTTATTTAACATGGCCTGTTTCTCGTCAAGACGGTCCATTAATTTGTTATCATAGCATAAAACGCAAGCCAGAAATATAGTTTACCGACAATAATAGTAAAGGTTTAAAGGATAGTTGTGTTTGTAATAAAACCTATATTTAAAGCTAGGTTTAGTCTCCGCTCAAAAAGGGGAATAGCAAAACCAAACAAAAAAAAAAAAAAAAAAAAAACCCTGTCTCTCCACAAACCATAATTCATATTTTGGGAGTGGTGGCTGAAGCTTGACGTCTTAGCAAACTGTCTCAGTTACTCAGTGTGGTGTTTTCCTGTTGTAGGGAGTAACGGGAGATAAAACTGCTGACCAACAGGCTGTCCTAACAGGCCTGCTGACGCAATCCATCTTCAAGTTGACCTGAAAATGCTGCTTTAGCTGGGATGCTTTCCTGGAACCAGTGAGCTGTGTTGAGTGAGAAACAAGTCTCTAGGTGCTGTCAGTGTGAGAGTGTTGTGCACTTTTTCTCAATGGAAAGAAAGTTGTGGTGTTTTCAGATATTTGTGAGATTTCTCTTTCTTGGAAACCAGCTAAAACACAATTCCTAAATATTTTTTTTCAATGGCAAAGAATGCGATTAATATACTTTATCTATAAGCTGCAATAAATATGAAAAAGTCAATGAATTTTAAGTCTAAAGCACATTATTTATCACTGTCTGCTCCTGACAGTCTTTCTGTTGCTCCCAGCTGTGGTATCTTCCAGGACAAAGAGCGAAAGTTGCTTTGTGATGACAGCTATGGTGCTTTTGTGGGTTTTTCTGTTCCGATGTGCCCTGATGCAGACCATGTCTGTCACCTGCTTTCAGTTTCTTGCCTAGCACAGCAGTATAGCTGTAACAAGTTCAGCTTGACGGTCAGCTATTTAACATGTTTCTGCTTTTCTTTCTTTTTTTTTTTTTGCAGTGGTCCTCGAAAGCAAATATTTGAATAATAAGCATAACAGACGTCCATTAAAGACACAAGAGTCATGGATTTGTTGAAGGAGACGCATGGCTGTTTCTACAAGTTGATACAAAAGTAAACCTCTTGACCACAAACTTTTAAAATGTATTATTTATTTACTCCCTACACTTTCTTATGGATGCAGTTTCACACGCAGTCCATCTTATACCGACACAGCTGTGTCATCAGTCGTGAAACTGGTGCTTGGAGAAATGATTAAAAAGTCCAAACATGAGAGGCAGGTGATTAATGGATTCAAGAGGCTTTTATACACATAGAAGAACTGAATGTGCTGCAGAACCCAGACTGACAATAGAAAAAATTCAAAGAGCCGAAGAAACTTTTTAAAGCGGCCAAAATAACATCACTTGAGACTAGACTGAAAGACAAAGTGTATAGATGGAAAAAGAGAGAGAGGGAGCGACAACGTTATGTATACACTGTCCGGATGACGAGACCCAGGTGGAAACAACGAATACAAGAACCGAAAAGCACAGGTACTAAAATAGGAGAAAAGAAACACTGATAAAATAAAAGATGAATTGAAGTGACTAATACTCAGTACAAGAAGAACCAAGGAGAATAAACTGAACACCCAGCAGAAAAATGATTTGAACACATGCATTTCAGTCAGACGATGTGATATGGAAGACTCATGTTGACAACAAAAGCTCTGAGATGCTCCCTGTAGCTTTGAGGCTTTAGTGGAAAAAATGTCTAATTGACAAAGATTCAAGTTTGTGGAAAGTTTTTATTTTTATTTTTTTCTTCTCTCCACGCTGGAGACTAAGTGTCCAATCAGTTTACATACAAGACAGATGCTGCCCTGAGTGCAGTTTTACCATCTGCAATGCATCCTCTGGTAGATCCTACAATCTAATGCTGATGTTACAATGTTAGATGTGCTAAATATATCGAAGGGACATTTTTTAAAAATTACAGCTGAGTGTCATGGAAAAACTTGCGCTCTCTGTCAGACACATGTTCAGACTGAAGGTCAGACATGTTTGTCTTTTTTTTTTTTTTTTGAGAATTTTTAAGAATTTTTGGAAGAACTTGTTTTGTTCTTCCAAGCCTGGGTTTTCTTTTCATTTTCTTGGTGGGTGTCCAAAACACCCACCAAGATGCCAATGTAGTCGTCTGACATTGGCATCTATAAGTGTTGAAACAGGGCTGGCCGTCAAAAGTACGCTGTGCATGTTTGCTTAAGGACAGTATTATCAGAGGAAAGCCAGGTTCAACTGAAGTTGCTCTGTGTCTTTATCTTGCATCAGGCAGAAGTTTTAAGTGAGAACAAAAATGATTCAATCCTGTAAAAATTCTGCTTAGCTGTGAGACAAACTGAGACACTGCTGATGCTCCGTTCCTCTCCACAGGATCAGTCATCTTCCATGTGAGTGGTTGGTGGGGGGGTAACTTTATGCCTGTTTTCCCATCTGTTTTCCCATGGAACCCAGTCTGTAACAGGAAATTTACCATTAGCAACCAAACTGAGAAACTGTTTGACTAATTGTTATGAGGACACACTACTGTGCATTTTGGAAGATATCATTTGCCGCAGAATTGAATAATTACTAGTTAATTATTTGGCATTTGTTGCGCATCTTTGTGCTTTTCATCCTGCTTGTCTGAAATGGTAAAACTCAAAACGGTGGTCGGGTTTCAGTTTTGTCCCAGTGGAGAGTCTTTGGGTTCGTGTGCACAGGTGCTGTCCGTCCTTTCACTCTTTGCTGACACCTGTCACACAACTGCATAGCTTTCTAGTGCAGATATGTAATTATGTTGCTCTAAAACACTTTTACTGCTCATTATGTTGTTTTGATTTTGACCCGAATTCTGCACTGTGGAACTCTCAGAAGGTCACAGCAGAGAAAATCAACACACACATCTCTGCCTTGTCTCAGCAAACGCAGCCGTTTCATCATGCCCACATCACTCCTCTCTGTCTGAACTCTCTTGGTCAAACAAACCCAAGTAGGTCAGTGCAGTGGTGGGTTTATGTTAAACTCTGCAATCCAAGCACTGATTTGGAGCTCAAAGATCGCTCTGGTCAGGGTTGCCGTCTGTGAACTCCAATGTTGATGTATTTTAATCAGAGTTCCCTGCCTGTGAAAATGTCAGCTGAAGTTTACAAGTGTGTAAACTGTGGCTGCAATCATTCCTCACTATAGCCAACTGGAAAATACCCTAATATAATTATTCCACAGAGATGAGTTTACAGCTGGCATAAATCTAAACTAATTGAGTGGAGTTTGTGCTCCCGTATTCTTCCAATTTAACAGCTGCAAACGTCTGTGTTTATGCAATTGTAATCTTGTAAAGAAGAAAGTCTAAAATTATTGACCACCAGATGGGGCTGTCGCCTAAATATGACTTTCAATAGCTGGAGAAGAATGTCATGCTGACGAAAACCTTTGAGGCAAACCAGCACAGACGGAACACAAACTATTCGCAGAGTTTTTGTTGTGGTGGGGTAACGTCGAGGCGCCTTGCTGACCTTGGTGACCTAAAGATTAACTTGCATTAATCTTTTTAAATGTCAGCACTGTAACAAGTGGTCATGCTTGTTAGAGTGCATGACCACCATAACATTTTAAATAAGAAATGTGGTGCACTGTACTATAAAACTGAAATCAGGTCCTCATTGGGTGTTTTACAAGAACAACAATCTAAAAGATTTAGTCGAATCAAATTTTTTATAACAAGAAGGGAGAGGGGGAGGAGTCATCTTGTATGTTTCTTCAAAAGAAAAGCCATACTTCTTCAGATAGTTTTGCTTTAAGAGATGAATCAGCAAGCCTAACCCTCAAACGGGAACCTTGCCAGGTTGCACACACCTTGCAGTAATGCCATTTAAACCCCCCAAAAGGATGAAATGACCCAAATTGGGACGATGTTTATGTCTTCACTTTATAACTAGTTTGAACTTGTAGTGACATCTCGGTTCTTTTCTGTCTTCATTAGTTGAGTGGTACAACATTTATTTGAGAGCAAAGGACTCCACTCCTAAAATAAACATTTGGTATGTTGTTCTGCTATTAAAGTGTGCCTCGTCTTTTAAAGCTCAAACGGCTCCAGTGCCTGCTCTTTTGCATTACTGCTGAATGATCACAGATCTTATCTGGTCGTATTTTTTCTGTCACAGTGCAATTTATGTGAACTTGAAAAGGCTTTTTACTTCTAGAATAATGACTACAAACAAAAATGCTAGTGCCCTGAGCTCAAACTCTCAAATCATGTATTATGCAAACTACAGATGTTTATTCCTCTTTAAAATTGACTTTTTTTTTAGCTTTATTTTATGCTATTAAGTTATTCCCTCATCAAAAACATACCGGGAGTGTTGCTTTGATTCTTTCGTGCATATTTGACAAATTCTTGAATATCCTGTGGAAGCCATTCAAGGGTGCCTAAATGCTTGTTCTCATCATCCCATTTCCGCCTAGCTCCCACCTCACAGAGGACCCCATCCCACTCTGCTCCTCCAGACTAGCGGTAGCAGCAATTGGCAAACATCTGGTGGAGCTCCAAGTCTGTTGAGCTCATCATGCAAACTACTTCTTAGTACAGCGATCCTAAGAATGGTCATAAACAGTATTATGAAAAGCATTGTTGTGATTATGTGCTGAAGGTGGAGTGTCAGAGTGGGACTTTAACTCCTATTTATTGATTATTAATATTTTAATCTGCAGAAATGCAACCAACATCGTATTCTGTCAAGGTGAAAAAAGAACTTGGCCTAAAAGTGAAGGTTAAATTTTAAACAGCCAACCTTTACCCAAAGTTATATCATGACTTTTTGAAAAACTAAAGCTGGGGCTTTCTGAGCTTCTCATCAGAACGAGAATCTCAGTTACATGAGAGTCGCTGCTCCTCTCGTCTCCGAGGAGTCAACTGAGGCTGTCCGGCTTCAGGACGTCTCATGGGTTTCTTCCTTTGGAGGTTGTCCAGGCACAGCACCCCACTGGGATGGGGTGTAGAACTTGCTGAAGGGACACCATATTTATCCACTGTGGCCTTGGAGCTTCAAGTTGATCGAGAATGAGCCTGAAAGTAGGCCTAGGGTAGAAGTGCATCCTGTTTTCTCTCTTTGAAAGTGTTACCTCTTTGAAACAATGCAGAAGACAATGGATGAATAAATAGATGGATTTTATTCAGGGGTTAGGTCTGCCATGTACATTATTTCTATTATGTTTTAATTGCCATTAATTTCACACATGGGTACTAGGCTGGGCTTACTCTTAATATTTGACCACAGAACATTAGACTCTTTTGCTAGCATTTTTGTCTGAAGACTCAGAATTTGGTAAAAAAAACAACAACAAAAAAACCAAAACATAAATTCTCAATTTCTGGACCAAGAGAAATATCTTTTGATATAGAGAAGTTGTGTTGTCAGTTTTGTGTGTATAAAGACGCAGCTAAGGAAGATTAAAAGTAAACTATTTCTTTCCTGGTGTTAATTTATAAAATCAGTCTTTTGAAAATGTCAAATAATAGCATTGTAGTGCCCTCTGCTGGACAACACTGTTCAGTTCAGTGCTCCAATATCAGAAATCAGTTTTCCACTTTTTTTTGTTCTAATTGATATTCTAAATATTATCAGTTCAGTTGTTTGATTCATGCCTGTATTTGAAACTTCACTTTTAAAATTTATATATGTATTTAAAAACATTAGTTAAATAACTGCCAGCAACTTGTTTATTTCTGGGTGTTTTTTTGTTTGTTTTCATTATTGAGTTTGTGGTTGAGTCTCTATATGCCTGCTTGTGATCCTCTGAAGACCTGGTAGGACTCCACTCGTCCTTCAGCTGAATTGTTGCTCCTTTAGGTGTTTACTTGTAGAGGACATGGACCTCTGGTTCAATGTGGGCGCATTGGCAGCCTCTCCATGTCTGTACACCTCAGTGCCAGTCTGTGTGGGCAGCAGGACGACTGCAAGACCTGACAGAAAAATCATCTATCATTGCTTTTAGTGTGGACTTCAGTGTTGAGTAACCATAAAATATAGAGAAAGGCATATTTGTGTTACGTTGATATTTAAACATTGAATTTTACTAGACTATTGGCCAAAATAAAATCATCTGGTGAAATATTGTTTCCATTTAATTGCTATAATTACTTACTAGTGGAAGCATGGGAGCTCAGAGGTGAAGGTGGCAGGAGAAGGTCGGAGGTCATTCTGACGCTCACAGTTCAGGATACTGCCTAAAAGATGTAGGAAACATTCGTAACAAATCCAACTATAAATGAAGACCACCATTCATTTAAGTTATTTCAATATTGATTTTGTAATTGCAGTGCAGCGTTTCCTACCGGCACACTGCCCTTGGGTCGTTGCCGTTCCCTCTCCAAGCAGCATCTCTTGCAGCAGGCTGTCCAGTCTGGCTTCGCCGAGCAGCTTTGCCAAATGGAGCGTTTCCACCATCTGCCAGGAAATGCTCTGCAGAGCAGGAAGAATCAGCAGAAGTTCTCCTAACCTTCCTCTCTGATCACACGTCGCTTCCTCCAGTAGAACGTGGGCCTGGAGACGCAAATATCGGATCAGCTGAGGGTGCTCCAGGCCTGGACAGTCTGCTGGAGAAAATGCAAGGAAAGTTAAACTTAGATGCAATTAGAGACTCAAGCAAAAAAGGAAAAATGATTTTCATAAAACTACTTTAAAAGCTGAACTTGCTACGGGTCACACAAACATGTAATTTGAGAATTTCAACTTTTTCTACAGGTCTTCTTAAAATGTCAGACCAGTCAAAATAGCATCTTGATCCAGCTGATTCCATCAAATCTCCAAGTGTTAAAATTATCTTATTGCCTTGACTAATTGAGAATATCAGAAAGTTTTGAATTAATCCACAATTGTCTTGGTTGCAATTTTATTTTTGTCAGCTCTTGAGTGTAAGATTTTATTCAGTAGAAAGTGATAACAGACCCAGTTTGAACTGTACTAAGATACTTAAGACCAACCAAGAAACAAGCGATCTCTTAAAAGACGATGAAACAATCTTAATGGAGCAGGAATTTGATAGAGCGGTTTTTATTTGCTTTTTATTAAAATGTCATGCCCGATTTTTAACACCTTCCCAATAATCAACATAAGAACGTTGGAATTTCAGCAATCGCTCCTGTTGCATTTGCTGACCATCTTTTGCATGTTTCCACTGGTATTTTGATGAATTAGTCTTGTTGATGATCTCCAAGGTTTTGAAGCTTCTTCACACTGAGTTTGAACTCCCTCCATAGATTCTCTACCTAGGTTTTTGTCAGGACTCCTGTATCACCGAAATGATAATGTTACGTCCATTCAGAAGAAACCTGTTGGTGAAATTAAACCTAAAATCTAAACAATCGAATATAAGCCTAAATCTGCCAGAGCTATGACTGGTTAGTCAGACTTTCCAGAGACCGATACAGATCGTAATTCAAGTAATATTATTGTTTCATTATCTGGTCGTTAAAACTTCCCCTTTTGGTATCAATTTATGGAGTAGAATTAATGTTATCTGTGTTAGATGTTTGTGTATTTCATTGACTGTTTTAGTGGTGGATAGATCTCACCTTTTTTATGAGTCACTATTTCCTGCTAAATGTTCTAATTATCTCTAAAGTGTTCATAGTACATAAATAAATCCAAATCCTGAGGAATACACAAAAGTGTCCTTTGCTTTGATATAAATGGCAAATATTGTTCAAGAGAAAGATCAAAACTATCTCCAGGTGCAAATCAGTGGAATATATTTTATATTTGTAAGCAATCTGAAAGGATTTTCCAAATGCTTATCAGTAAATCCACCCATACAGTTTAGCGTTATCCTGCTGTGTGGTTTATGAATTAAGGAATGATATGTTTAAATCATTGTCACAGACTGACTTTGTTGAACAAAGAGAAATCATTGTGGCAGTTCGTTTGTCGTTCTTTGGGTCTTCGCTCTACTTCTACTCCAGGGACCTCAGATCAGCATGTCATTAATCTCAGCAGGCGGCCAAATCTGCCTGAAAGTCAAGAACTTCAACATATCCAAATGTTTTACTCCTAAAATCCAGTTTAGCCACACCACTCAGAAGGATATCCGGGGGTGGAGAGGATGGCAAGAATATAAATAGACCTAAACTGAAAATGAATTCTGTTCTTGTGATGCCACAGAAAGTTTTGTTAGATAAATTATAACGCACAGATTTAGAGAGGTGTGGGCTGACCTGGGGCAAAGAAAACTATGGCTCTGAGGCAAGCAAACTCTTTGTCTGTAATGTCCAGTTCCCTGAGAGGCTTGACGAGCTCCTCCTGGATTCTGGTAGCCACTCTGGACACTTCCAACTCCGCTCCTCTCAGGGGGATCACAAAGTCGTTGCCTGATCAAGAAAGAAAACATTCATAATCGGAACAATTTCTGCAGAAATGGATGGTGTTCAAACTGCTTATTTTACCTAAAAGAATGACGTCATTATAGGGTAGCGAACGTCTTGCTGCCCCCAGAATCAGATGTTCAGCAGAATGGGTTCGCAGAAGGGTCACCTACAAACGGACATGGATGTCTGTTTCATATTTTAAATGGAAGCTGCTGCAACAAACAATCATTCGTTGTTTATTGATTCTGCTTCGTATATATGTAGAGCATCTTTTAGTGTCAAAGCACTTTGCATAAATGAAAGCTCCTCTCACCCTGTCATCTATGTGAAGGCTGCAAAACTCTGGGATATGTTTGGCCCATTCCACCAGCAGGAGGAGCTGTTGCTTCATTGATTCAAACACGTCTCCCACACGGGCTGTTTTCTTGGCGCTGATCTCACGACTCTGAGGTGAGAACAGAACGAAAAGCAACCCTGAATAATGCACCGGTGGTCAAGGGGTCCAACAGTTATGCAGGTAAATCAGTTTTCTTTTAAGTGTAATTTTATTTCGATCTTTTCAAAACTGGGTTTTAAACGGCAGCATCAAAATCTACTTTCTTGCTTAGGTAGAAAATACAAACGGACTCCAGCTGATGCCAACTTCCTTTAAACTTTTTCTCATCAAAAACACGGCAAAATCCGCATAGTTTTTCCAATTGAACACGTTGTACAATACAATCTTGTAAATTGCCAACTAATGCCTAACAAATTGTTCTTATTAAATTAAATCAATTTAAATTTAATTAATGTTTGCTTGATTCAGTGCCATTTATTTCCACCCGTTCCCTATTTGGATTGAGTGGAGCGTTGATTTAATTGGTTTGAGTAGGAGAACTGTGAAGGCAGGAGATTTAAGGATATAAAAATTGTCAAATGCAGGCTTTACCTTTGGGACTAGCTACCATTTGTAAGTGCTTCAATTCCAAGGGTAAATATGAATTTAGAGTAACCTACATTGCAAGTTATCTAATTAAAATGAGCTTTTATTGAGTTGATAGAAATATTTCAGTAATTTCATTTTTTTTGTTCTGTCAGTTGGCAAACAACCCTGCAGCAGAATCAGTTTAACCTGATCTAAGTGGGAAGAAGTTTGACCTTGAGCTGACTGGTGTTTCTCTTAGCATGTGATGCTACAGTGGCATCTTCCTACAGTAACCCAGGGCAGACAGACAGAAAACAAAGGTCGTCTTTCACAATTTCCTCGGCAGCCACACCATACACACATACATCAATAATAATAATAATAAAGGAAAGTACTCGCTTTTTATATAGGTTTTTGTTAAAAATGTTGCATTCCTCAAATTTAAGAAAACTGCTTCTCTTTTTCAAAATCAACTCTAAGGGCTTCTAGTTGTTTTTTTTCTTCCTGTGCATTCCTTTTGAATGTTAAAAACGCATATCTGGTTGTTATTACGTACTTGAAGGCAAAAGACCTCAATGCCAGACCTCTTGGTACATCAAATGGGCCATGATTAGAAGAGGTCCCTGTGCAATTTTGTCCTTTAGTTCAATTAGGAGTAACTAAATCCAACCCAAGGAGAGTCTGTCTAAAATGTAATCCAAGATTTTTTTTTTTTCATCTCTGACCTTCACCTAAGTTATTCTCAGTAACAGAAAGGGATCATTTAGCAGTCACGAATAGGGAAGTATCAGTATTCATCACAGATAATCTGAGATCCTAAGCAGTGTGTTACCTGTTGCACGCTGTTCTCTGCCTGCAGCAACACGTTGATGGACAGAGTTCCTACCGGTTGTCCCTTGGCTCTGTGGGGGTTGATGCAGTCTCTCTCATTCTGAACAGCTGGATACCAAAACAAGGAGAGTTTCTTAAGAAAAGTTCATTAGTTCCTTCATATATAGCCTCTGTCTTCTACACCCTGTAAAAGAAGCTTCTTTATTGAACTTTGTCTATCCTCAGGTTTCACTGAGATGCTGTTGATTTTGGGTAACAACTTAAACCACAAAAGTGAAGTTCTTCCTTTTATAAAACTACTCATGAAGTACTGATTTTTTTCCCCTTCTTCTAGCAGTTCATATCTACACTGTTATGTATTGTTACAGCCTGTCAGGTTTGTGTGAGACAGCTGTCTATCTTGTCATTATTTTGAACAAAATGGGTATTACTACTGTGTGTGAACTCAGCCAGCTGCATGACTTGCAGCAAGAAGGTCATGGGTTCAAATCCAGACCTGCAGTCAAGTCTGCATGTTCTCCCAGTGCAGTACTCTGGCTTTTCCTCAGTTCAGAAATATGCATGTTGGGCTAACTTCTCTATATTAGGATTAGTGACTGTGGGTGTGCATTGTCGTTTGTAGTGTGTTTTTATTTTTGCTCTGAAATGAACTGGCAGCATGTCCTCTACCTCTCACCCAATAACCACTAACGATGGACACCATCCCAACCCTGCCATTGTAAGCCGGTGTAAACAATGATGAATAGGCAGTAGCTATTCACTTCCAGAAAGTTGATGGAAATTTATAACTGCAATATCACCCAGTTGCCATTTTCATGTAGTGATAATGAACAGAGAAGACTGGAATAATGTCGAGAGAAAGGCAAAACGTCTGATTTGTTCAGCCTACGTCATTTACTCATTGTCCTTTCTGTGTGTGACTCAAAAATACATGAAGTCTGAATCAAAACCCAAAATCAAAAGTGGGTTGTGACTGTAAAACCTAAAAGGCTCTGCTCAACGCGTCTTTATGCACTTCATTCAAAGAGGTGAATCTCTCCTGCTTTTCAGTTTGTCGATCATTGGGACACATTCACTGGACTCGAGTGATTTCTAGACTCTTGGGATCAATTGGCCAGACTTCTGTTGAATTAGATCAGTCACTTTAAAGATGGTGAATGTACATGCAATTACTTAGTTTTTGTTTTATTATTTTGTAGAATTAGATTTCACTTTGACGTCTTGTCAAAGGTCAATTTTGCTGATCACAATTGATTTGTAAAGGGAGTAAAACACCTAAGGGGGTGAATACTTTTTGTAGAAACTGTAGTAGCGGATAGTGTTTGAATCACTGTCTGATGTATAATTGTCTTAAACATGTCGTCTTCAACAGCTAATTACATAAGCTTCTGACAATGAAATTAGAGCATCGTCTGCTGCTCTCAAAGCAATATCATATTTCTTGATTAATTTTATGTACGGCTCATTATGAACAGCACTCAGACTGATTTCAGTAAGCCTACAAAGTCAAACGCACGACGCCGCCGCACAGTAATCATTCATCAGAAGCTTAGAAAACACATTAATCAAGATACATGTGAAAGTAAATGAGCTGTTGGCCACCTTTTGAGCTTTACTGACATTTTCTATTTAATTCTAAAGGATTTTTTGTGGGTCAGCAGTTAAGTCCAGATTTTGAGCAAACGGTTACAACATGCTCAGAGGTCAAGTATGAAACTCCAGCATGGTGGAGACTTGTGCATTGCTTCACCACGGCTGTGCTTCAAGCTCAACTCAGAAGTGATGTTGCAGCATGTTATGGAAATCAGGCAAATTAGTGAAGTACAGATTTAAATTTTTTGCCTCTGGCCTTCACTTCAGAGTGTTGGGAGAAACATTATTCCAGGAAAATGCGAACCAAATATTAGTCCATGCTAAGGAATTTTAATTATTCATGTGTGGAGAATAGACCCTTTCTCTCTGCATATGCGTCAGTCAGTGAAAGATGAGGCTAATGACATGCATTGCACACAAGCACACTTAGAAAAATGAACAATAACATGTTAAAGATCAAAACGTTTTCCTTTTGTTCAGTTGAAACAAGTCTTAATTGATTTAAACACACACATTTAGACAAGGGAGTTATAATAGGAAACAATTATGCAAGCTTTTGTGGTTTAATTAAAATGTGCTGTCTGAATACTGAAGGCAGTTTGTCTATTTTTTCAAAAGAGGCTCTGACCTTCCTTTCTCATTCCAGCCTTGAAACATTTCTGCAGTCTGCAGTAACGACACTGGTTCCTTTTGTCTTTGTCCACAACACATTGCCGGTTGAACCTGAAAATGTGCACCATGTTGAAGCATGCGTACATATTTACAGTTGCTACAAGTGAAGACAACATCATTCTGACTTGTACTGTAATTACAATTCAGCTAATTTATATAGAGCAGATTCATTTTACAAGACACTTTATAATTTAATCAAGGTAACGATGGTGGCATCAATTGGGGTAAAAAAAACAAAAACAAAGTTTGATTTAAGGAAATCACACAGTTTTTATTGAGCTGCTAACTTCCAATACTTTCCACTTTCCACAACAGACAGAAATGTTAATTATTTTACTGTATATAAATATTGTGACAAGTGAAAGAGAAAAACTTCACTTTAGCAGGAAGAAACATCCAACAGATCCCGGCTCAGTGTGAGCGCCCTTCAGCTTTATGCTCAGCTGACTTTGTGCTGTACTACAGGTAGATTCACAAAGGAAAACAGTAACTGTTTCTAAATGATGACCATATCAACTACACTGGAAAGATATAAAAGGGTTAACATTTCACTAAATCATATATAATACGTTGAGATGAAATCTATTTTTGTATTTTTGAGCTACGCAAATAAACCCTTTTTTCGTCTGTGTGTGTGAACACGTGTACATATATTTACATGTATGTACACATATGGATGGGTCAAACATTGTGTCTCCCATTTCTCAAAGTCTTATATAAAAGGAGCTTTGATCATGGAGAGTATGAGTTTATTTGGTTTTATGGGTTTATATTCTCAATTATTCACAATTTCTCCAGGGTTCACATATGCCTCTGTTCTTTCAGGGCTACTTATGTAATCAGCTCCATTGAAAATATAGAGATCGCTTGACACTTTAGGTTTTACTTTGAAAGTCTGCAACACTGACTCCAGTGACATCAGCTTTGACACTTTATTAAACTTAACTAGTTTCCTCCTGGAGCCACTAAAGCCTTTATGAAACTTTTATAGCATATGAAGCGGGGCTCCCCGGCACCTCTAATCAGAGTTTAACATCGTTTCATATTGGGATATTCAGGCTTTTCTGTGCCAAAGCAAACATTTTGGTATGATGAAACTTAACCTGCAGTTGTATGTTTGGTTGCTCCGAATGCTCCTCCTGAAGAATCCCTTGCAGCCATCACAGCTGGACGCGCCGTAGTGTTTACCCGTGGCTCTGTCTGCACATATGAAGCAACGACTCCCACCACCATAGGTCTGGGAAGCCGACGACTTGGATACTCGCTCTGGTGCATCTGCAGATTGTAAGATGGAAGAGATAAACAATCCCAGGCTAATGATTGAGCTACTTGTCGTAAACACACCTAAGGGAGAAAAACAACTTTGCTCCAGAGGCATTTCTGTCACGACCTCCTGAGAACATCAGCTGTGTTAAAATCAAACGGACTCCAGGATGGAGATTATATCTCTTGATCCCTCTCATCAATTAGGGCACATTAAATCTAATCTCCCCTCTGTGGAAACCAACACCTGTATGCAGGGGTACGGCTTCAGAACGCCAGAATCATCTGGCCGTCGTTTTATCGTCCAGTTTGGTCGAGTGCGACGATATTAAAAGCAGGGTTATACAGTCTGAAGACTTATCACTGCTTTGAGTGTGAATGCCAAGGGCCCTCTGAGGAGCTCTGCCAGTTATTACTCAGGAGGAGAAGGAAACTCCCCATTTAATTAAAACAGCTAGAGGTCAATGTGAAGCAAAGTCCAGCACTCTCCTTTGGCTAATTTTTACTACGGGCAGGCGGGCCTCCCTTCCATGTTGCTCTAAAGCGCCCGCTGCCAGTGTTTGACTGCTGCTGTGGAGACTGTACAGACCCCAGGCAATAATGTCTGCAAATTGCACACTTCGTTTAAGCAGATGAGGCAGCTGGGGATTACGATTTAACAAGGAAAAGGCTTTCTGTGGTCAAAGATCAGTTAGATTGAATTAAGAGATTAGAATACGTTCGCCTCGCAGTTATATGGATTTGAGGAGCAGCCTGGTGATAAAAGCGCTCCACTTAAGACAGAAGAGAAAGAGGCAGATTCGCCTCCGCAGAGGCTTAATTGGAAGAAGGATTTTCAGATCATTGAAGATTTATAAAATGTAAACTAATATTGACTTGAAATGATGTGTTGATGTATTTTGCCTCGCAAAAAGATTCATAGACCTGAAACTTTTTGCCACGTCTCTCAAACACAAACTTAGTTATTATTATTGCTCATACATGCAAGAATGCAGCAGTGAAGAAAACAACACGTCACACTGTGAACGCACCATCCCCACCGTGAAACATGGCGATGGTCCACTTGCGGAAATACTATTCAGCAGCAGGACAGAGAAACGGCTTTGAGATGCGAGGGCGATTACACGTGGCAATAGTCGAAGAGAACCTGTTAAATGTTTGATAAATGCTTTAAACATACATCCAAAGCTTCAGCGGGATAGACTGAGTCAAAGACCAGACACAAAATTCAAAAGGAGAATATCTGAAAAGATTTGAAAGTTAACGTCTCGGTCATCTATTTTGCAAAGGTCTTATTGGCGAAAATGTGCATTTTCTAGTTGTGCAAAGCTGGTGCAGTCCTTCCTACAGACAGTTTCATGTGTTCTTGCATCAAAGTACAGATGAAACTGTTTTGACTCAGGAGTCTTAAATCTGAATGCATCCCACACCTGCAACAATTTTTTTTGAGCAACGTATTCTTTTTGCCTCAAATTTGTAATCGTAAATTACATTACATTGGTCCGTCATACAAATTTCTGACAAAATGCATTGTTTGTGGCTGTAATATGAGGAAAATTTGAAAAGAAGTTAAAATATTTTGTCAACTGATTTGTAAGAAGACTGCAAGAGCACAAACTAGGTTTGACCTGTGAGTAGAAATGTTCTAAGGCTCGATTGTCTACTGCGGCGAAGAAGATTGATAGTAAACATGGTTGTGTGTAGAAAGTCCAAGTGAGAAAACTCAGAAAGCTTACACATTTGTTTAGATAAAAACAGAACGATCATACCTGTTGCACTTCCTGGTAGTGGAAACAGCAGGAAACTGTCAAAGTCTTCAGTGGCTGCTGCAAGAATGATTGTCCCAGGAAGCTTCATGGTTCAGATGGTTTGATGGGTTTTCAAGCCTGATCTGCAAAACTCGACCGGTGTCAGTGAGGTTTTTCACTCAGTTCAGTGGCTCTTTCTCACAGGCCTTAATGATCAGTTCAGGCTCTTTCCTTTATTTATTTATTTTTTAATCTTCTGAGGGAGCATCTAGTCCTGTAGTGCGACTCCAAATGTTCTTTTGGTGAGTTGAGAAGCTTCCTCTGCGATGTCCCACTTTCATTGACCTTAGTGCTGAAATTCGGTCCACTGTTTGTTTACTCTTTTCACATCAGTTACACAAATAAAGGGGAAAGTTCGGCGACAGATAAGAGTTTCCGTGAGGACAACGAGCAGATAAACATGTGTGACAAAGACTTGTCGGTGGTATGAAACAACTCGACGATACTTGGTCTTTTTGTTGTTGTTTTTTTATTGTAGAGATTTTAAAACGTCAATAAAGTCAAACAAGCATCCAAAGGTTGCCTGCTGGGATGTTTTCTTTTATTGAATTTTAGCTGAAAATCTTACTGGGATTCTCTTAGCTTGAGTAATCAATATCACACTCAGGAGTTTTTTTTTTTTTTTTTGCACAAACAAATACGGCATTACACTGTTGAGAAGAGCGTTTGTGATGTCTGATTAACCTTTTTGTTTTATCTCTGAGGAATGACAAAATGCCTCCTTGCAGGGGGTGCGTGTGACATTTGTTCAAAGTGGATAGCTTTCTCTTTTTCTTTTTCTTCCACTGATAAAGGTGTTTTAGCTCCATGATGGTGAAAAGCTTTTGTTAATCTTGACTCATAAGCATATCTTTGCCAGAAGTCTCTGGCTGCAGTGATTCAAGTAACTCGTCTTTTTTTCCTGAAATTTGAGATGCATTATTACGGCTACAAAAAATACATTAAATTACAGGCCAAGACAAATGTATATAAAGCAGTTGTAGTTATTTTTTCTGTGATGGGAGGGATCTGTATGGCATTTAAAAACTGGCTATAAAAACAACTTTTTAATTGCATGAATACAGTTGAGTAATTTTCATTCAGCTTCAGCAAGGAATTAACAAATTTTAACATTCATTTAAAAAGCTCCGCGTAATCCCAAATGCAGCATCAATAAAGATATCATCTATGTAACGAAAAGCAAATAAAAACAAGAAAATTTAACAGACGGATCTCTTTTTTTATTTAATTTTTAAAAAAAAATTTTCCTCACAAATTATAACAAATTATACGTCACTCCACATATGAGCTTCCCAAGTGATGAAATCCATCATACTTTAGTATAATAGGATTTCCTGGGTGAGTGGTACTCCTTCCTTCAATGTCATGCTAGGCCGCAGGTCAGACCTCCCCTGGCAGTGGCTCAGGCAGTCGAGCTTTATTTAGGTGATTGATAGATCGTAAAAGCCACCAAGTCATAAGAGCGCTGCAAAATGGGAGCCTCTGGTCGGTGAGGTTCTATCAACGAAGAAATAAAGTGACCCATGAATACTGATTGTCTGGCTTTTAGCATCCAAAACACACCAGACTGAAGATGTGTGTTATATTGTGGTATCTGCAGTCTTGAGTTTAAAACATAGATATTTTCAGATCCTGCAGACTGAATGTTTAAGTTGTTTTTAACTCGGTTCAACACTCATCACTTAAAACAAAAAGTGCTCTGTTTCACGCAGTTTCTAATTTATTAGAATTTCCTAATTTCCCTAAAAGCAAGAAATGAGTCTAAGTTTGTCCGCTAGGGGGAGACAGAGTACACTCTATGCATCCAAATTTGACTGTGTTTTACAACTATTTTTATTTGATCTGAAGAATTTAGGGTTTAATGTCTCTGCACACAGCTAAGGTAAAATTATTTATACCCACGGTTGATTGAGATTTGACTCCTCTTTTGATTTGATCAACATGTTTCTCCAGACAGGAAGTAATGTTTTAAATCTGCCCAAGTTTCCTGTCTTGTACTTATTGACAGTGATTGGAAGCTTCTCTGAGCAATTATAAAACAACTGAACATCAACAGTGTGTTCATCCTTTTCAAAAGAAAGTAAAACAGAGAAAAATGAAATTGTTTTATTTCCAAAGAGGCGGATTACATATATAAATGATGCACAAACGTAATCAAAATAACGTAATCCGAAGAAATGGCGGATTAAAATTGACTAACCTGTATAGAAATCAAAAGTCATTAGAAGAAAAACTTTACGGTAAAATGAGACAAAAACTCTCATCAGCATTCATAAAAATCTGCTGGGTCTATTGAGGTGATAAATGAAGACGCAGGAAAATCCACCAATTTTATTCCAACTTCCCAACGTTTTTATATAAAAGAAAACGAACAAAAACCTTTCAGAGAAGACATTTTGATGTCCTGACCTCTGTCCTTTTAGAAAGCATATTTACCATCACTACTGTTGATTCCTTGCCAGAAGATCCACAATTTGGTCAATTATGCAAACAAACTGTGATCAAATGTCCAAGCAGAATTTTGCAAACAGGCTGCATAACGTCTAAGTTCATGGTGCAACCTGTCCAAGGACATTAAAACTGGATGGGTGTTTTTGACTTTGTCAGTACATTGTCGATCCTTTTCACGTTGATGTCAACAAATCCAGAATAAATACAAAAGCGTTTTCCTTCATAAGCACTTATTACATTGTTATACATTTAACTCATTTAACTTGGAAAATTTGAAAGTGTCTTTTCCAGATTGACCCACACAGACTGTAAGAGGCAGACATAAATTTTGTCCTTGTTACTCTGTGACTTGGATTTTACATTGATGCTAAGAGTTCAAGGCTCTCAGCCAAAAAGATAGAACATCAAAGTTGGGCAGAAGACGGGAACAAAACATGCATTAATGAGGAAACAGAACAGGGTAACGTTATGAAAATGTTGCAATAGATGGCAAATTGATGTAAGAAAGGATCCAAAATGCATAAGGCATCATTGATTCCTTGCAAAGAGCCAAAATACCCAATTACCCACACATGCACACACAAGTCCTTGGACTGTAAGAGGAAACTAATAGGGGAAACAAAAAAGAAAAAAAAAAAAGAAAGAGCCCACATGTTAACTTTACGCAAATAAAGT